CCCGCCCACCCCCAGCCCCCTACAAAGGGTGTAATTTGTTTACAAAACTGGAAGTCTTTCATGATCTAATTATAAGCAGTAGAATATTTACATGCTTTCAGATACATCCCAAAGATAACATCTCTTTTAATTGTGTAGGGGTTTTGGCTCTGCTAGGCCATAGTTATGCTAAGCTATAGTTAAACTAATATACTGCAAAGGACCTTGGGAGTAACAGGCTTCACTGGCCACTAGATGACCTGATAAAAGACACAGCGAGCAAAAACACAAATGTAAAATAAGAAACAATAGCTGAACAAGTTGAAGAGTGAAAGTTAGAACTCACTAAAGGAGAGATAACAAGAGACAAGTTGTACACAGCAGACTGAAGATGCTCAAGCTAAGTAAGGGAATGAGCTAGAAAGGCCCAAACTCAGCAAACAGTGAGCCTAGATGCCCAAACGTGGAAGGGGGAAGCTGTAATTCACAAGGAATGAGCTGCAGCTGTCCAGACTTGGCCAAGAGACAAGTAAAGAGGGACAACTTGATTGAGAGAGGTAGAGAGAGAAAGAGAAGAGCTGGCACAGAGTGAGGGCATCTAGGTTATAAATATGGGGGTTGAGAGCCTTGCCTTTTTGTAGCAACTTACGGGGCATCTGGGCACATAATGTGTAACTTACCATTGTCTGGACAGTTTTGCTGAGCCAGGCTGACTGCTAGGCAGCCCTACTAGCTACTATCCTTAAAGACAATAAACGTATCTGAGCTTTCACCACCAAGTGTCATTCTTGCTCTTGGTCTCTTTTTTAAAATATGCATTCATCATTGTCTAGAATGTCCTGGCTCATGTACCTTGGACCACGACCACAGGGTCAATCTGAATGTTCATTAAATATACCTGTGTAACCCCGGTACACCCAAGGGTGTACCCTATTCTCAATAGGATGGGATGGGTAGGCAGGAGTGGGTGCTGTGAGAGGGATGCCAGAATTTCAAGCAGATCTCTCTTTCCTCTATAGAGTTAGCCCAAGCCCAAAGTTCTTAACTATATAAAATTTATTGAGTTATAATAAATATAAATATAAAACTAAATATCATATATGTCTATTTACACAGTGAACATTAACCAGTAACCAAGGTCAAACCTTAAATAACATTATTTATAACATCACAATACAACATTTCAATCGCAAAAATATAAGGCGCAAACATGAACAATCTTAATATCTGTTTCCTTAATATAGTCCCTGATCCATGGCAAGAGATAGTCCTCCTTCCAATCGGGTCTCTTCGCAGGGGTGTCCAGGAAGCACCAGGGGCCCTTCCCCTTAGGGCCTTGACTAGGCAGGGGTGCTGCTCACCCAGCCCCTTCTCTGGGTTTGCCCACCCCAAATGTCTTTCCCCTGTGGAACCCAAGGGCCCAATGACTCACACTCCCTCAGGTGGCAGTGGTCAGGGCACAACCCGATGGGATCTCCTCTGCTGGAGAGCCTCTTCAGGCCTATCCTGCACGGCTGGCCTTCTCTCCACCCTGTGTCCCACTCTGGGCACCGAGGGCTCAGCTCCTCTCAGCTGTTGCACCACTGCTGCTGGCTTCTGGGTGCTGAGCCTCAAGCTGCAGCACTATGATTTCCCTGTGCCCTGGCTTGGCACTGAGGGCTCTCTTAGCACAGGCCGAGCACTTCAGGCTCCTTCTGTCCATCCTCATGCTGGATGGCTAACTCAAGCAGCCTCCACTGCTCCCTGGCTCTGAAGGCTTGGGCCTGTGTACCTCCCTGAGCACTGTGGGACCTGGCCGCTTGCTGGGAGATGGGGCCTCAGTTGCCTCAGTGTGGCCCCCAAGGCCCTGCCGGGTTTGTAGGCTCAAGCTGCTGCTTGAGGCTCCCAAAACCTGGGCCCTGTGCACCGAACTGTGCACCGTGATGGGCTGAGCAATCTCACACTGCTCCCAAGACTGCTCCTCCAGTAGGAGCTTCAGGACCCTTGGGCCTATTACCCACTGAGGGAGAACTCCCACACTTTCTTGGCTCCACTCTTCTTGAGCCCCTCACTGCATCTGCCCCTTGTGCTGGGCACATGGATCTTTTATATGCTCCAGGGCTCAGCCCCTGAAGTCTTCCGGATCTGACAGTTTACAGCCGTCAATCAGGTCCGGGGGAGCTCTTCTCCCCCTCCCCTCAGGAAAGGGGCGTGGCTTTATTTCTCCTACTGCCTCTTGATTGGTGGATGGGCTCCACCAATCAAAACAGCAGGATCTCAAGCCTGGGACTCAACCCAAAATCTAAAAGCTGAGCCTGCTACACCTGCATTGGATGCTAATTCTCAGTGATTACCAGGGATCTGAGTTTTCCATTTCTGATGGAAAAATGGGAAAAAACACACACACACATTTTACTTTTTAACAGAGAAAAAAGTGGATTTTTCATTTTAATGGAGATACCCATGGATTTTCCACTTTTGCAAAGAGCTCTCTGCAGGCTAGCAGAGTTCCAGGCTACAAGAGATTCTTGCAGAAAGAGTGGCAAACCCTAAGCTACATCCTGGGGGAAGGAGTGGGGCCTGAGAGTCTCAGGCAGCCAGTCACCCCCCACTCCCTGTGCCCCCAGTATGATCCACTTGCAGCTCTGTCCCACATCCCGCCCTGCCCCAATCCCAGCCCCACTCTCACTCCCTTCCCCCCGCCACAGCCCTTTCCCCTTCCCCTGGAGACTTACCTGCTAGGGTGGTGTGCACGTGCTCAGCCTCCCCTCCCCCTAAAATAATTTTTTCTCCCTCCACCTATGGCAGGGGTAGATGTGGGCTGCCCACTATGGGCTCGCCACCCTAATGCCTCCCCCTGTGTCCTCTGCAGCATGGCAGGTGAGACCCAACACAGGAAGGCAGAGCAGGACAGGGAGGTTTGGTGTCACCACCAGGAACCCTGTGCTGCCATGGCAAGATGCCCCCAGCCTGCCTGGAAGCAGCGGGAGAGGTGCTGTGGAGTTGTGCCCCCACCACCGCTGCTGCTGGGTGGGTAGAGTGTGCCTTGCCATGGTAGCATGGGGCTCCAGGCAGCAGCACCAAGCCTCCCCACTCCACTCTGCCCTCCTGTGCTGGGTCTTACCCAGTGGACCATGCATTAGCAAGGCAGAGAACTCCAAAACCAGAGTCACCAGTCTGCATCAGCCCTCCCCTATGGGTTCCACTCCAGTCATGCAACCAATGGGAGAGGGAGAGCTGGACTCCAGGCTCTGCACTTGGCTCTAGCCACATTAGCTGCCACCTCCTATGGGCGGTAGCTGGGGTTCAGGTGGTGCTAGGGAGTGACAGGGTGCTGCAGACCCAGGTCCCTGGTTAAATATCCCTAGTGCTGGGGGCCCCCTCTTGAAGGGCTGGAA